AATGAGCGTTCTTGCTTATGCTGCTTCCGAGAAATGAGCAAAAAACGGGACCGAGAACAGGAAATTTTGGCATAATCTTGTACCTAAATGTCTGACATTGAAATTTCGCATTTGGGGTCAAAACGGCGAGGATTTTCCAAAGCGCGTTGTTTCAGCTGAATCGCTATTTAAATTCTCTTTCCAACGATGTAAAAACAAGCTCGGTGCATCAAATGGTTCCTGAGAAACGTGGAAAATGGCAGCGTCATGGTTAAGCTGATTGAGCAATTCAAAAAAATAGCAAAAGCTACGTCTGGAAATAAGACTTTTTTGACAAAAAGGCCGGCATTTTCTAATTGATGCTCCACGTTCTTAAAGCTCCAATTAGTTCTCTCTCCGGTATTTGAAAAATGAGCGCTGTTTTCCGATTTTCTCGCGAGAAATGGGCGAAAACGTGGCGAAAAACATGAAATTTTGGCCTAATCTTGCACCTAACTGTCGGACATTCAAATTTATTTGAGCTCAAAACGGCCAGAATTTTCCAACGCGCCTATTCAAGATTTAATTAACACTGAGAATTCTTCTTTAAATATCCGTACAACTGTAAGCATTCGAAATAAATTTGCGCTTTACTTTACTCAACTAATGGAACGATATTTGCGGATTATCCGCTATAGATCTTCAGACGCGTAATGCTGTGAATGCTTACAAATCTGGAGATTATGTGCCGTAGCGCGACTTAAGCATAGACGCCCTTGCTGTTTCGCTCCCATACATTTGCCCATAATAACTGTAAATTGTATCGCTGCTTTCTTCCCGGAGTTTCCTCCGCTGGAAAATAACTGGATTTGGTGAGTTGATGTTTGCCCTCATTCGCCGAAAGCTTGCAGACAGACGGCCCGAATCGGTAATTTTGCCAGAGTTTCACCTAATGGGATTGTGCCATTCCCAGCATTCAAAAGAATTCAATTTCTTCCACCTTTTGAAGCACGTGGGTGGGGAAGCCGCCGCTCCCAACTGGTTGAAAACACATTGCAAATGAGGATATTTTAGCGGCAATATTTCCCCATTAATGTTCCCAGAATTTCGAAGCGAATGCCCGCTGCTGCTTTTACAACCAAACTTTTAATTGGCTTTGTTATGATTTGATCTGGATTATGCGTGTGCCACATAATTAAACCCGGACTCAACTCGCGTTTAAATGAAAATTCCGAATATTGTAATCTATTTGAATGAATCATTCGATTTTTGGTGCGCTTTTTTTTAGGTAATTTATAAACTCTTAAATAATCACCAGGGCCTATTAATCAAGCAATATGTTTCGATAAAAATGATTAATGGCAAGCTGAAAGCCGAGAAATGGCTTTCAAGCATCCATTTTATCTTGGTAACAAGCTGAGCGATCTAATATCTGAATCTGATATCCACTTACACGAACGACGTCATTTCCTTTGCGGGTAAAGGGTAATATATGATGGAGTGGGTAATACTCTAAAGAGTCTAAAGCAAGGCCGCAGCTCCCTAAAATATGGCCGGGTATTAAGTTGGCCTAATTAGCGGTTTTAACGGCATTAAAAAATGTTTGGAACCCGACCACATGATAAACTATACCTACAGTTTACTCGTTTCTTAAATCGGCAAAATTCCTATTCGGTTTCAGGGTTTAGAGTCTCTAGCGTCGTAAATTTATGAAGCAGATCCAAAGTGAAGACAAAAGTCGCAACACACCAAAACAGTGTGAAAATTATTCACAAAAACTCATTTGTCTCGTATTATTCTAAACCGCAGAACTGTTTATGTTGCGTTCCTTCGGTGTCCGACAAAGTGCGATGCGGTACTCTCCCCAAGGAAACTAAAGCGAAATTTCATTGGAAGTTTCCCAGCGCCTAAGCGGGTATACCATATAAAGCACAGTTTCTCGACAAGAGCTCGTTAATGGTTTTACCGGAAAAGTTTTAATTGACTTTGTTATGCTTTGGATCCAATTATTTTTATAGCGGCGTCCCAGGCTCGGATGTATCAGTATATTATGGAACGGTTTAAAGTTTGCTCAGTACTTTTTTCCTAATTTGTCGACTAATTTTGTGTGCGTGGGTCTTTGGTGCAACGTCAACTGCGTGTTTCGGCCATTTTATTAATTAAAATATAACAAAACTTGTGCTTTTTCTGTACGGTTCCAGCAAACACAACAATTTTCAAATTGGCGCAATGGAAATCCTTTTAAGCAAATTGCAGAAAAGCTTGAAGGTTGACAATTAGGTGTACGAGTGGCGCATTTTCTAGCAACCGGCTGGAAAATTGTTGGTGTTTCAACCGTTTACTTTTAATGACGATTTTTCCTCAAACTCTGCTAACCATAAAAGCAGCACAGAACGAATTCAGAACATTTTGTAGTGGACCAAATTGGGACTTTTGAACTGGCAAACATCCACGTTTCAAAGCTTTCATTCTTTCTTCAAACGATCGTTCTTCCATTTGTTTCCTTTTCTTCATACTTGCACTTTCTGTCGTTTATAATGCTCCAGATAATCTCAAAATTTGTAAAAGTTGAGCCTGTTTTGACCAAATTCGTATCACATTCGCAGCATCAAAGAAGGTCTGTTCATTGGCGAATAATCGAATAAAATCATCTTTTTCTTAAGGTACAAGAAGGGGGAATTGCGCATTGGGCACAT